GGTCAGTCGGTCGGTAGGCGTCGAGTCCGTTGTCGGTCAGTCGGTCGAAAGGCGTCGTGTCCGTCGACGGTCAGTCGGTCGAAAGGCGTCGAGTCCGTAGTCGGTCAGTCGGTCGGTAGGCGTCGAGTCCGTCGTCGGTCAGTAGGCGTCGAGTCCGTCGTCGGTCAGTCGGTCGGTAGGCGTCGTGTCCGTCATCGGTCAGTCGGTCGGTATGCGTCGAGTCCGTGGTCGGTCAGTCGGCCGAAAGGCGTCGTGTCCGTCTTCGGTCAGTCGGTCGGTAGGCGTCGAGTCCGTCGTCGGTCAGTCGGTTGGTATGCGTTGTGTACGTCGGTCGGTAGATGTCGTGTCCGTCGTCGGTCAGTCGGTCGGTAGGCGTCTTTTTAGCTGTAGTCGGTAGGCGTCGTTTCAGTTGTAGGTACATAGGTCTGATTGTGTCATGTAATTCGTATGTACGTATGTCAGACACCTACTGACCAATGATACATAGGTCGGTAGGTGTCGTGTCAGTCGTCGGTACGTAGGTCAGACACCTACTGGCCAGTGGTGCATAGGTATGCAGGTGTCGTGTCAGTCGTCGTTACGTAGGTCAGACACCTACCGACCAATGGTACATAGGTTGGTAGGTGTCGTTTAAGTCGTCTGTACGTAGTTCAGACGACTACTGACCAATGGTACGTAGGTCGGTTGGTGCCATATCAGTCGTCGGTACGTAGGTCGGTTGGTGCCATATCAGTTGTCGGTACGTAGGTCGGTAGGTGTCGTGTCAGTTTTCGGTACGTAGGTCGGTAAGTGTCGTGTCTGTCGTCGGTAAGTCAGTCGGTAGGTGTCATGTCAGTCCTCTGTACGTAGGTCTTTAGGTGTCGTGTCAGTTTTCGGAACATAGGTCTGTTTGTGTCATTTCAGTCGTCTTTAAAGTGGTGTTATGATCATCAGTATGTTGTCGTAGGATATTACTTGTTTTACCTTAATAAACAATGACTGTCCTAGTCTTTCAAATAAATGATGGTTAGACTAAACGAGAGAACAAAAATGTTAGTCAAGTGGAAATGGTAGCGGGTATCTGCTAAGTATCTTCATTCATACTATGCAACTGGATATGACAAATCATTGGTTTTCTAAGTAATCGTTATACATAACTGTATACACACACACACACACACACTCTCTCTCTCTCTCTCTCTCTCTCTCTCTCTCTCTCTCTCTCTCTCTCTCTCACACACACACACACACACACACCCTCACACACATACACACGCTCTCTCGCTGTAAATGACTCGTGAAAATGTGATTACCAGTTACCTCCCTTTAATTGCAGGATAACATACTCTGTTATCTCAATCTCTTCTAAAAAAATCCTAGTACAAACCCACCTACTACTTCCTTCTCCACCTCTTACATCTCCCAAATTTTTGGCATTTTTGGAAAATAGACCACGATGCCTTCTGACCTTAAAATGACAATTTTACCGGTTCTCGATTTTTCTGTAATTTTCACCATAGGTAGACAGTATAATGACCCAAATATTTTGTAAAAAGATTTGGTGTGCTAGAACCGGAAGTACGTGCTTCACTTCCGCAAAAAGTTGTCACATCTTTTTAAAAAAATGCTTAAAACATGATGTTTTTCAAGTAGAAGATAGCATAACTTTTTTTATCTTTCAGTATTTTTATATATATATTTGACATCACAATGTAAAGATAAACATGTTATCTACAATACAGTATCGATTGATGCAAGATTTTATCTATTCAATAGGCTTTTGGACCAAAACCTGACCCTTGGTGTACACCTGTGGCTCACTACATTAAATGAGTTATAGCACAGGCCCCTGGGGCCTTTTGGATTTCTTAAACTCGTTTCATGGTTTGTCTCTCAAGGTGCTACAAATAGCACCAAGTTTGGTTTAAATTGGTTCGTGGACAAAATTCTATTGTTCTTGTAAGAGGTCCTTTACACAACCGCTTTCGATTAAAATGTGTCTTGATATAGGGACAGGTTGCCTCGAACATCCTATATGTATTTATATGTACATGTATATATGTGTTTATATGTATATATGTGTTTATATGTAAATATGTGTTTATATGTAAATGCATATATGTGTTTATATGTACATGTATATATGTGTTTATATGTACATATGTACATGTATATATGTGTTTATATGTACATATGTACATGTATATATGTGTTTATATGTATATATGTGTTTATATGTATGTGTATATCTGTGTTTATATGTATATATGTGTTTATATGTATATATGTGTTTATATGTACATATATGTATGTGTATATCTGTGGTTATATGTAAATATGTGTTTATATGTATATGTATATCTGTGTTTATATGTATATATGTGTTTATATGTAAATATATGTTTATATGTATATGTGTTTATATGTATATGTGTTTATATGTTCATGTATATATGTGTTTATAAGTACATGTATATGTGTTTATATGTACATGTATATATGTGTTTATATGTATATATGT